TGAATGGCAGCATGATGGAAGAGAGAAATTCCATTAGGTAGAAGGGGATTGTCAACTTTGTGAAAGCTCTGGGTCTTGTTCAGTTTCCTGTGTCCTTGGTGGCTAGCATAACACTTTTTATGTAATAGAAGCCTCATAAATGTTTGTGGAATTGAGTAGCTCTAAAGGTGAGAGAACAGTTCTGACAACTTAAAATGAATGACCTATGTTAGGTATTTCATTGCATTTTCTTCGCTAAAGAAATGGGAGCAGGGAGCAAGTCACAGCTACATGCACTAGTAACTGGAAACTGTGCTATGAAGGAAATTCATCATGTAATAATATTCTTTAAAATGTCTACTGTTATTGCCAATCATAGTCAGTATAGCTCTTGCAAATATCTATTTGACACAAAATATGATCTAATACTATTTTTAAAACATAACCAAAATGAAACAAACAAAAAAAGAACAAAAGAGCAAATAAATTGTTAGTGATCCTTAAATCTCAGAGATTGTTCAGTTGTTTCAGTCGTTTCTGACCCTTTGTGACCCCATGTGGAGTTTTCTTGGCAAAAATACCAGAATAGTTTGCCATTTCCTTCTCTAGTTTATTTTGCAGATGAGGAAACTGAGACAAGCAGGATCACACAGTTAGTAAATGTCTGAAGTCAGATTTGAACTCACGAAGAGGAGTCTTCCTTACTCCAGGCCTGGCACTCTATCCACTGCCCCACTTAGCTGCCCCCAAAGCACTAAACTTGGAATTAATGGATCTGAATTCAAATCCTAAATCTACTACTTACTAGCTTTGTGACCTAGGAAGAAGTCCCTTCCCTGTTTAGAAGTTCAATTTCTTCATTTAGATAAGGAGCAGATTAGACTATAATCCTAAAATCCTCTTCAGTTTTAAATCCTAGGATCCCAGTCCCACCCACAATTCCATCATGCTTGAGAGGTTTGGCTCTAAATACATATGATGAATTTCCCTAGACATAGGAGTTATGACCTCCATGCCTTCACTCCATTTAGATGTGGCCATATCAACATGGCATGATATTTTTTTCACAACTGACATTTTGGGAGTCTGTCAAAGATATAACTGAGTCAGTAGGCTTACAGTGACAAGGCATTCTCAAGGAAGAGGAAAATTTCCATGCATGCCAGAAGACACTGTTGATTTGCATTTGGTTAGCACGCATAAGAGTACCTTAGAAATTGTTGTGACAGATAATACCATTACTAAAAATTCAAGTAAGAACTAATAAGAAAATTAAAAAGGAAAAAAAACCCAACAAACCCAGTCATTAGGTTCACTGTGACTACTACCTCTTACCCAATCCTTGGAGAATAGTAGGAGCTTAGAATTTGCAAACTAGTCAAGGGTAGGGCACTTTTTATCTCTATATTTCCTCAAATCCTCTTATAGTGATTAGCACATGGGTCTTACATTTGAATTCTCCTCTAGATCCCTTTTCTAGATCCCCCCCAAAAATACCAGGGCCAAAGAATAGAGACGTCGTGGAACCTTTTCAGAAACCAGTAAAGGGTCCTTTAAATCCACAGAGACTGTCCAGATGAGGTCAGGCTGAATAGGTGAGCATGCTTTATTTAAAAAGGTAGCAGAAGCCCTTCTGTTGTTAAACTGCTTCTCTGAATAGAGAGGGATAAATCATAATAAACATCCTTCAGGGATTGGTGCTAGGACTGGTCATATTTGCTATTTTCATAAATGACATGAGAGAGATTATACATTGAAACATCTCAATTTATGGATGATGCTAAACTTCTGTTGCTGTGGAGAGACAAAATAGAAATAAATGGCTATATAGGTCAAATCAACAAACATTTATTAAGTGCCTACGCTAGTAACTGTACTAAATACTAGGGATACAAAGTAATAAAAAAATCCCTTCTTTCAATATGGGCAGCAGCATTACAAGGTGAGAGGATGAGTAAATGGACCAAATGAATTTTAACAAAGCTGTAAGTACAATGTAATGCATTTAGGAATAGCTAGTTTGATCTCTCTCTCTCTCTCTCTCTCTCTCTCTCTCTCTCTCTTCTCTCTCTCTTCTCTCTCTCTCTCCCTCTCTCTCTGTTTCTGTGTGTGTGTGTGTGTGTGTGTGTGTGTGTGTGTGTGTGTAAAATGAAGGGCCCTCTTGTTTATGAACTAGGAAAGGGCCCTGGGAATCATAGTTGTTCATTTCCTGAGGACATCAGTCCAATGTGCAGCTGTCATTAAAAATTTTTTAAAAAGCTAGAAGGCTGTGTAGCAGGGATGACCAGGGGAATTTCTGGTTTATTTGCCTGTGCAATGTCCCATAGACTAAGACATGCACTCTTGCTCCTTATTTAGAGACATATACATTGCTAGGATGTTAGAGTGAACTCCTGATTGGTCCCTAGTGACTAGGTCTGTGCTGAAGATGATTGGCTAATAAGTCAGAAGATATACTCTTATTACTGGAGACTATTCAGAAGTCCCTGTGTCATCCTAGAAAGGTGATTCTTTTTCAAGGAGTCAGGACACATGCCCGGCTCTGTGGGAGGTACCCCAGTTTAGTAAATCAAAGACTCTCCATTCACCTATTGAATGTGAATTAAAATTAGATCTGAGAACTGAGTATACTCAGCACTTACATTCCCTGATGTATTTCAGTATTCCTTGACATTCTTGTGGTTATTGTGTTAATTATTCTCCTTTTGCCTGCTTCTTCTCTCCCTACTCCATTATCATACATCTATTCTGTATTTATTTTTAAAATATCTTCGTATCTTCACACTGTATCCCCTTCTTGAGGACATGGACTATTTAATTTTTGTCTTTATATTTCCAGCAGCTAGCGTGATACCCGCAACATAAAAAGCACTAAATATTTTTTGACATGTTGGCTTCTTCGCTTGGCATCAGTTTACATAAGACTAAGAACAACTTTTTAAAAAAATGACTTTACTACCTGACTCACAGTCTTCCTCTTCAGCCTGTTCCCTAGCACAGTCTTTGGGGGCTGCTTCAGTATTCCTATTGATAACTCACTTGGCAATATGAACATATAATGCCCCATTTTTCTCAGTGCCAAAAAACACCTGAACCCCACATCAGCCACACACTGACACATGTTATATGGCAGCTGTTAAATTTCATAATTACCCACTATCTACATCCTGAAATGTCGCACTACAACCACAAACTCTCCCAGTCTCTCCCTCATATTCAACCTATTCTTTGTCCTTATTGTGACCTTCAATCCCCTTATCCATCCCTATTTTTCCACTTTATTTCTCCCACTCTGGTTTCATTTGCCTCCTTATGATGTCTTGTCATGTATGCCAATTTAATGTTCCCTTAACTGCAACAGAATCTCTGGGATAATTCATGTTATTGCCTTTGCCATTCCTAATCTGGGGATCCACGTCCCTGGATCACAAAGAAATCTTATTTTGCTTCCCCTAACTCAAAGCTTCTGAGTGAGAATTACCTGAAAAAAATCATGAAATTCAACTGTTTTCAACAATTAATTCATGATAAATAACCTCAGTTTTGCCCTTGCTGCTGCTCGACAATCTTACTGTATATCTATCTTTATTTCCTCTATTCTACACTGTGAATATTCTATATTTTTCTCTTTGAGCCACCATATCTCCACACCCCCTACACACCTCCAGCAGAACACCTAGCTCCCCACTTGCCTGAGAAGACAAAGGCCACCTTCCACAAATTTCCTCAGCTCTGTCCATTCTTCAAACCTTCTCAGCTCCTACCAACACCCTCTCCTCTTTTTCTTCTTTCTAGATAGTCACACAGGAGAAATAGCCTTACCACTCATCAAGGCTAATCTACTATCTACTTCCCACTCCTGCTTCACTCTCTTTCCCCTCCAATCCATGCTGAATACCACTACTATAATTATCTTTAAAACAACAATGGGAGCAGCTAGGTGGTGCAGTGGATAGAGCACCGGCCCTGGATTCAGAAGGACCTGAGTTCAAATCTGACCTCAGACATATAACACTCACTAGCTGTGTGACCCTGGGCAAGTCACTCAACCCCATTGCCTAGCCCCCCCCCCCCCAAAAAAATCCAAAAACCCCCAACAATCTACTAATGCCTTTTGCTATATACATTATAACATTTCTGAAGGTGGGAATGGGTTCCATCCCCTCAGATTGACTCAAAGGAAAACAATTGAGCAAGAATACCATATACCATAATTCATCTACTAATGTACACATCATTCAGACAGAGTGGTCCCCTGACTTTGTCATCAGGATGACTTTTTCTGTTCCCCAGGATCATTCATTTTTCTCAGAGTACAACTTCCTTTTAGCCTTCATTTTTTAGTCATTGTATATAACACTCTTCATTCTGCTTATTTCATTCTTCATCAGCTCATACAAATGAGAAATTATATTTTTGTATACATATCTCTTCTGTTCAAAAACTTTAGTGACTGCGTACTGTCTACAGAGTAAAGTTCAAAGTCTGATATCAAAAGTTCTCTGTAATTTAGTGTCACTTGGAACTCCTAGCCTTGTCACGGATTACTCTATGCCTTCTAAATTTATATACCATGCCTTCTAAAATATCTCCATGTCTGAAATATTCCCCTGCCCTATATTTACCTGTCAAATTTCTGTTCAATCTTAAAAGCTTAACTCTTATGTCACCTAGTCTAAGAAGCCTTTCCTGGTTCCCACAGTGAGTGCTTCCTCCTCTGATTTCATGTAACACTTAGTGTATAAATCTCAAATATAATTTTATGACACATTGTTATATAATTATCATATGACATTATGTAACATTGTGTGCTATATTTCTTTGTGATAGTATCTTATCTCTCTCCTAGACTATAAAGTCTTTGAGAGTAGAGTTTAGGTCTTATAAATTAGTAAACCTACCCCCTCCTACTCCAGCACCTAGTACAAGGTTCTACACATATAGGTGCATAATAATTTCTTTTTTACCCCCTAAATGATAGTTATTATAGGGATAGTCAGATATTCATTTAATGTTCTTACCTTCAGTTTAGATAACTGTCCAAGATCCTTAGCTGCACTGAAAATCATTTGGGGTCCCTGAAAGCAAAAGGAGAAATGCTAAGAAACTGTTCTTTGTAACACAGTAAAAATGTGGCAAATGATAGGAAAATAAGCTAAGATCTGGGTTCAGATAAATACTCCTTGTAACATTTATTAGCAGTATGATCATGGGCAAACTCTTTTATCCTCTCCAAACTTCAGGTTCTTCATCCATAAAATGTGGCTAATAATACCTGCAATAAGAACCTCACAGAGTGGTTGTGAGGATTAAATATAAGAATGTTTGTATGACATTTGTGCAAGCATTAAAACACTATGTGTTAGCTTTTTCTTTTATTATTACACTTATAATTACTAATTTAAGTTCTAGGCACTGTGTTGCACCTTAATTAACACCTAGCTACATGTTGCCAAGTATAAAAACTATATTCTACCAAAAGAATGTGATAGTGCTGGAATTTTCTGTTTTGCTTTTTCACATTGAGAAGGTTTGGGTTCAAGGGATTTATGGCTTATGTAACTGTCATCACTTACTTAGCCCAGTGCCTGTGACCACAGTTTCCTAATAAGGGCAACTTTAGCTCCACCCCTGCCCCTTGCACATCTTTGCTGGCAATAGGTAACTGCTCAACCCCTGCCTTTTGCTGTGCTTTAAAGTTAAAGTCTCATATTCCCCAAACTCCCCAAACAAGTCTTCTACACTATTAAACCAAGAGTGAAGACATTTCAGGAAAATTTAATCATTCAGAAAAAGTCAAGGGCACAGGAAGGGTAAAGAAAGTACACATATCTCAAAGCAAATCCCATTTCTTTTTAGAATTTCTACTCTTAGAGGGAAAGGGAATAGTGGCACAATTTTTTAAACCAAATTTGTGTCCCTGTGAGTGTTTAATAAATAACAGCCAACATCTGAGTAGCTCTCTAAGGTTTGCAAAGTTCTTTAAATATGGAATCTACTTGAGCCTCACAAATATGCCATGAGATAGGCAGTACATGCCTGATTATCATCTCCATTTCACAGATAAGAAAACTGAGACACAGAGGTGAAATAACTTGTCTAAGGTCATATGGAGAAAAATGTGGGCCAAGACATTGTAAAAATTTAATTTGATAGCATTCATGCAGTTTGTAGGGGTAATCTAATGACAGTGCATTTTGAACAACATTCTTATTAAAGGGATGCACTTTGGGGAGGTATAAACCCACAGTTTCTCTGCAACTGGACAATCACTTAAATTATATTCCCAAGGGAAAGGGCCATTAATATCATCGGTGTTAGGAAAAATATCCCCTGCATCAGAGTTTTTTAAGGAGGCTGGCTCAATTTCTTCAAATTCCAAATTATTTAATTAAGCAAAACAGTTAAAACCAGTGTTTGAAATGTGTATAGACCAGAGCTGAATTCCTTACTGTTTGATCTGTCAAAGGAGGAAGGACAATCTGCTTTTCTATTTTGTTGAGGACGAGCTTCCACAGCTCTTTCAAAACCCGCTTCAGCACTGTCTTTTCACAGATTTTCGCAGAGAGACTTAAACTGAAATAAAATCAGGGAGACATTTATTTTGAAATTTCAAGTCAAGACATCCACATCTCTTTATAATCAGGACTTTAGGGCATTAGCCACCCAATTTCTCATGACCCATCATTCTACCAGGTCTTCATGATGTTCATGGGATCATAGGTTTAAGGTTGGAAGAGATCTCAAAGTGAATCTAGTTCATTTCTCTTGATCTTACAGATGAAGGAACCCAGATTCAAGGAGTGACTTGTCTAAGGTTGGACAGGTAGTAAGCAACAGAGGAAGGAATGAAAGCAGATTCTCTGACCCTAGATTCAGTGTTCTTTCCACTTGTCTGCTCCCAAGGTCACACAGGTAATATGTGCAGGGTGAAGCCTTGAATTTGAATCCTCTGATTTCAAATCCCACCCAGTTTGTATTGCATAATACTTTTATGTAATGAATAACTATCTAATTCATCATACTGTGTGTTTAGTGCAATATAAATTCACTACACATTCTTTCATCATTCATTGCTTCAGTAATGGATAGTCAGACTTCAAAAACCAAAGGAGAATCATAAAATTTTCAAGTTGCAAAGGGCCCCAGTATCCATCTAGTCTAATCCATACCTAAAATCAAAGTGCATCAATAGTATACTGACAAGTGGTCATCTGGACTTCGTTAAGAGACTTCCACAGAGTGGAAACCTACCACCTCCCAAGGCATACCATTTTACTTGCACTCTTATTAGAATCTTGTTTCTTTGAAGTCAAGCATAAGTTTACTTCTTTCCCATCCTTTGTTCTTCCCACTGGGACAAATAAGTCTAATCCATTTTCCATATGATAGATTGCCCTTCAAATACTTGAACACAGCTCTCTTGTCTACTCCAAATCTTTTCTGCCTCAGGTTTACCTTCCCAGGTCCTTCAATTGATGCTCATGTGACAAAGACATAAGGTTGATTATCATCATGACCATCTTTAAAGAATGCACAAAGTAAACATTCATTCAAAACCAAAACATTTTTGATGTTATTTCTTTTTCTAGTTGATCCAAAATCAATGCCTGAGATCAATATGAAATAGCTGATTTGGAATTGGGAGATGAAAAGAGAGGTCTGGGATCTCTCAGCCCCATCTAGCTTATACCACTGAACAGTATGCACATAATTAAGCATAACAGATCAAGGTTCCCACAGCAAATAATTCCCAACATCATTCTCAAATGGCAAGAATTAAATGGCACTACGAAATTTCCATTTTCATCACTATCTGTTGCTAAACCAATAACGGACTTAGGGATTTTTGTTCCTTGGAGACAAATTACAATTGACCATCTCCTGTGTATGGAAAAGCTATGCATAATTTCACTGGAGAAAGACAACAGATTATATTCTTGGTTGTTTAAATTAATTCACCATTAACTCTATTTATGAGAAGATTCATCTAACAATCACTGTTAAGTAAAAAAGGGTGTACAAAGCAGTTGCAAGGGGCCATGATCCATGTCTAGCAGTAACAAAAAGAACAATAACAATTTACATCTATATAAAGCCATTCTTTTACAATGTTCTCCTCTCCTACCTCATTGACGTATGGAGGTGACCCTGAGCTTGTTGCAGTTGAGCCAAGGGACTGCAAGGTTGAGCAGTTTCTGCTGGAAGGACTTCAAATACAGTATTGGCAACAGACTAGGCATACATTCTGAGAAGTAGCCTAGATAACCATGGAGAGGCTCATTGCAACTGATGAGAAAATTCTTTGGCCCTGGCAGACCACAAAATAGCAACAATAACAACAAATAGAGAATGGTGCTCAGTCCTGTTTCCTTCCCTTTATGAAGTGACTGTTAGTGATAAAGAGAAGCAGCAGGTACTAAGAAACGATTTTTGCTGAGAGAAAAAGATTTATCAACTGCCACTGCTAAAAATCCAACAGCCAGAATACATAGACAACTGACCCAAATACGTAACAGGAAGGGCCAAAGATAAGTGGTCAATGGATATGAATACTTTCCAAAGGAAGAGTTGCAAACTGTAAATGACCACATGAAAACATTAAGAAATATTAAAAGAAATGCAAGTAAAAAAGAACTCTGAGATTTTACTTCATACCATGCAAAGAGATGCAGAGGACTCACAACAGAGAAGTAGGACAGAATAATGTATGCATTGTTAGATACAGCCATGATCCCAACTATGGATTCAGAGGGATAGAGGTGTGGAGGAATTTTGTTTTAAGCTCAGAGGTCATCCAATGCAATAGATGGAGATGGGAATGAAGTATTGTGAAGAAACAGAAAGAAAGCCAGTTTGGTTAGACTGCACAATGTGAGGATGAGAGCACTATATAATAAAGCTCATAAAGTAGGGCAGGACCAGATTGTCAAAGGCATTAAATGCTAAAGTAGAGATTATAATTTATCTTGGAGGCATAGGAAGTTAATGGGGTTTATGAGTAGCAGAATGACCTGGTCAGATGTTTGCTGTAGGAAAATCTGGTATCTGTGTGAAGAATGGATTGAAGAAGGGAAATACTTGAAACAGAAACACCACTGAGAAAGTTAATTGCAGTAGTCCAGGCAAGGAGAGATAATGACCGAGACCACAGTGCTTTGGGATTTTTTGTGGAATGACCAACAAGTAAAAATGAATTGTTCTGAGTCTGACATTTTCACTATACATAAAGCCAGGAGATAACAGAGAAGTTGAACATAAAGATAACTCTGAAGTTCTTATTGGAAAGACAAGTGAAGGAGGTGGTTGAGTGAATTTTTATCATATGTTCAAAAGCAACAGGAACTATCATTTCATGGCATAATTTTTCAGTTCATATTGTAGTGTTTATGTATTTGTAAGAAGAGCAACATGAAAACAGATGCAATTTGGGTGCCAACATCTTTTGCAAAGGATAAAATGGAAATAAAATTCAACAAAGGAACTCATTAAGATTCTCCAAATTAAATCAACCTATACCTTGATACTCAGTGGCTTCAATTTAAAGGGGAAGATGGTGAGAAATACATTGGAAAATAAAACTCAGGAGTTAGGATTGAGAGAGACCAAAGGCTTGTAAACCACAAAGAAGTCTTATGCTTAGAGAATATGAATGCTTTCAGAAAAAATCATGAGAAGCTAGACATGGTGAGCACTAAATAATATAATTAGAACAAAGCTGATTTTTTTTATGCACAGGGGGAAAATTCATTACTTATGTAGAAATAATTCCCAAATCAGTTTCCTGTGTATAGCAAATCTACACACAGAGTTAAGATAAAATGAAATGAGAATAAAAATGAGAAAAAAGATATGGTATGTAATTAAAACTTCACCCTGACCATTTGAATAAGCTGTTGACCTCTCTCCCAAGTGGAAAACAGGTGAAAGAACATGCATTATCATAAATCATTTCCTAAAGAAATTTAAACAATGTAAAACAAATGTCAGAATGAGATTAATGAAACCTAAAACCTGTTTCAGCCAGCAAATACTGGATATCTCCTTGTCAAGCAGAGTGATATGACAGTCAAACATAATATTAGTTTCAATAAGTGAATTTATTTGTAAAGTCTTACAGAGAAAGATGATGGAAGATTTACAGGCCTGAGAAAACAATGAGAAGCAGTAGAGGGAAAAACAAACTTAAGGAAAGCTTGGAGAGAGATCCAAAGAAGCATGCAGAAGGTTTTTGAGAATGAAACTGGAAGATAACAAACACATGAAAAATGGAAAAGATCTGTGAAGATTGTTTAATGCTTACTGTCCAGAATAAGACATCTCACCTGGATGTACAACCCCACAACCCATCTCTCTCTCTTTCTCTCTCTCTCTGTCTCTGACACTGTAACTGGACAATGAGCTAAGTATCAGTATATCTAAAACTATGGTTACAGAAAAACCACAGTGTTCAAAGAAATGCCATCCACGCTACAATTTCCAAAGAAATGAAGGTGAGGATCACTCACAGGGCAATGGAAAAATCTCATGGTAGATAGTATCAGGCTGACATAGATTACAAATGAGAAATAATTCAGGAAAAGTTCTATAAACATGTCATAGAAATATATAGCTAAGAAGAACCAAAAAAGGTGGCCTTGTTATGGAATGAGAGTGACAGATAACTGATAGGCAACAAGCTTCATTTTATCTACTCAATACCAAGAAGATCAGAAGATGGTATCCAGCATATTGAATGACTTCCCTGTAGCAAAAATATGAAAGGACCTAGATAAGAATCTCACAGGCTGAGAAGTCATAGCTAGGTTGTGATCACAAATGAGAATACCCACATTGATGACTTTGTCACATTGGACCCTCGCAAAACCTTATCTAGGGCAGATACTATTACCTCATTTTATAGATCAGGAAACACTGAGAGTTTAATGATTTGCTAATCTTATACAAAGATGAAGTGACAGTCCTTAGATTCAAGTCTAAATTATCTGATTCCAACTATAGTTGACATCAAACTGTTACCCATCTAGCCAAGTACAATATTTACTCATCAGTGCATTCCTTATAGTTGGCACTTAATTTGTTGAATATTCCGGATGAATGAATAAGTGGTTCCTGCTTTAGGAAGGGCCAGAACTTTCAGGTTAGAGTGGGCCTAGAAAGGTAACCTCACTAATTCCAATAGTAGTGCCAAGAAAATTTGTATACTTTTAGTGCTGGACCAGAGTTGAATTTAGATAGCATTATCCAGAATGTGGTTACAGCATAATATCACAAATTGAGCATTGGAAGGGAACTGAGGGAGCATCTGGTCCAAGCCCTTTTATGTTGCAGATGAGGAAACTTAGGGCTTGAGAAATCAAGACCCTTGCCCAAGTAAACATTAGAGTTGGGATCTGAACTCAGGCACTGTGGTGCCACAGCCAATAATGCCTGACATGTTATGCTTGTCTCTGCCGCAGTTGTCAAGGTCACCCATTTTTAAAATTCCTAGCACAGTCTGGGATCAAGGGGTTCCTCTAGGGCAGAGATTCTCATCCTTTTTTGTACATGCGTCATGGCCCCCTTTGGCATTCTAG